TGATCCTCGTTTCCGACAGTGTTGTCATTCATTTTGCAAATACATGGGCTATTGCTATGCAATTCGCGTGCAGTCCTCAAGCGTCGCTTGTCATTGTTTAAAGCGTCGTCAAGCACTAATGGTGCCCCGTTGCACTAATGCCGACGGCTCCCTTTTTCGCTATTCTGACGTTCGGATGACCAAAATAAAGGTTGCAGCTGGAAATTCGATATCTTGCGCGTATTTCACCATTATTCATGCGGTTGGTCACATGAAGATGTACATACACAGTTTCAGGTGAACGATATCGTGTTTCATCCCCAACACAACACGCTGGTGACAATCGGCTCCGATGGACGTTACTCTATGTGGGATAAAGACGCACGTACTAAACTGAAAACATCAGATGCGGCACCTTTGCCGCTGACATGCGCCGCAATACACTCTTCTGGACAAGTGAATGGCCTACGCAATAGGTTACGATTGGAGTAGGGTTAGTCTTTGAGCCTTTATCTTACACACTGCTGGAATTTGAAAGTGAGCCAGCTAAAAAGCAGCATTGCAAGTTTATTGTCAATATGTGAAGAATCCACAGGTAAGGATATGAAAAAAAAACTAAACTTTGCGATGAATCATCGACATAACCTCTGTTTCCGAGGACCAGAAGCTCGTCGAGTGCAGACCACACACCACAAGTGACGACGGCCTCCAAGTAAATCTGGTTACTAGTGGTTCATAGTGATAGCTGATAGTTGGTAAATGATAGTTGTAATTAGTGACAACTGATAGAATACAACTGCAACAGGCTAATCATTTCATTGGCAGAAAACATTTACATTTTGTGGAGGCCGTCGTCACTTGTGGTGTGTGGTCTGCACTCGACGCTATCTGTTTTCGGAAACAGAGGGTACTTTAAATTATTTTAAGGGTGCCAGTTGTTCTATTAGACTTCTAGTGAATTTCGCAGAAATGTCTCTATACGAATTGGCATCTAAATAGAGTGACTTGCGTGTAGCATCCATTTTTCCTCTGAGACTTTTTATCAACGGAAAGACTAGGCTGGTACTGAATAACAGAAGCCGTAGAAACTCTGTGTCATTATTTATAAACACGGCGTCGTATAGTTTTCTGAAAAGATAATCAAATTCATGAAGTGTTTTGTTCAATGGCATTGATCGATGATGTCAAATTTTAGTGAAGATCGGGACTTCCACTTTTCCGACTGTTCATATGAGCTTTTCTTGACTGAATTTTAGCAGTTTTTGTTTTTACTTGTTCGTTTATTTACACAATCGCCTGAGTGCACCAATAGTGGAACAATAGTTGTGGGTGAAATGGCACTTTGTGGCCACCGTTTTTTTATTTCCCTTGGCTTTCTATTTTTTCACCACAATCCTTCATGGTGGTCTTTTGAATATTTAAACCACTTCTTCGTAATGTGCCCTGCATGGAGGAGAAATAATAAAATATGGAGGAATTGACGTTGACCAATTTCTTTGCCCACCGCAGCCTTCTTTTACCTAAACCTGGTGCATGGATGCGACCTGAACAGTGCTATGACTTTTGGGGCTAGCCTATGTATAGGGCAGTGTTTTTGAACTTCCAGACAGGTTAGTGCAATTCATCGTGAAGGGATGGAAGGTGGTTAGCAGGGTGGGGAATTCGGCTTCGATTTGTATGCTTACGCGTGGTGAGATGCCGTCCCCCTCTACCATGCACCACATCCACACCTGCTTAGGAACAATAAAAAACCTGGTCAAGAAATGTTACATATATGGTCAAGAATGGTGTAAAACGCATTAAAGAAACTATGTGGTGCCAGTTGAAGTCAATCAGTCGTGTGCTGCGGTGCCGCAATCTTGTTTAGAACATTTTAGTGAGGGATATCGCCAATCTAGCGGTCATTTAGTGGTTATCGGGCGACTTCATCTTTCGCGGAGTCTCTTTTTCTTCACGAATCTTTTGAGCGTCTTAATGACGGAAATGAACATCACATCTTTTATTATACGACGTGGTGACCAGAAAAAGACGCTTAACTCCTCATTTCAGACAGCATTAATCATACTTTGCTGAACTCAGACTGACTGTTCCCATTAGTGTTAGAGAGCACATCTCAATCAATTCATAAACGTTATAATAGCGTTCTGCACCAAGGACTTCACAAGAATTTGCCATGGGAACCTTGTGCCGGTTCGAGCTCAACTAGGTTCCTCGACGGATCATGGACCATTACGACGTAATCTGAAGCGCTGGTCAGAGAGGAGTCTTGCTCATTTAAGGCTACTGTCCCTAGGAAGCAATCTGTCAGTTGATCGATTGAAGAATTCCGTAGTAGCTTCAAGGTTGGAACGATTTTCGAGGCCTTCTTGAGCTCAATGGTGATGGCAAGATGATGTCGTATTTTGACGGTGAGGGCAGTGGAAGGAGGGCCTGCTTCTACTTATGGGAGGACATCTAAGGATATTTTGCCGTAAAACTTTCATCAACAGCGGCACCCTGTGCGATGAAAAGTTTGATGATGTGCGCCACAGGCAAAGTGTCTTTTTTTTGGCCACCCCTGTAGACAAAATTTCGTTGGCGCCGCCAACGCTGACGTCAAGGCCATGGGATTACTGGTAGTTGACTTGTCTAGCTGAAAAACGTCACAATGGATGTACCTCAATGGAATGAATTTTAATTCCGTAGAACTCAAACAGCCGTTGTGCCCAACCTCTGCCACAGAATACATTTAGCATAGTTAATATGCATATTTGTTCTCTCTGGCTGAGGAGAAATCACAGCTCTGGTTGTAATCCTTAAAGACAGTGATCACTGGGGCTGGGGGCAGGGCCGTCTCTGAGATTCATTGACGTCATCATAAGTGCACCGCCTTTCAGCCATTGTGATTACTGCCTTTAATGCTCCTCAGTTATTTGCGCTTTTGTTATGTATATTTGTTGAAGGAAAAAGTTTGTCAAGTGTTCTTTTGCTAAATTTACTGCGCACGTCAAATACGAAAATCAGTCTCTGCGCGATTTCGAACACAGTCATCTGCATGGCCCATCCCGAAAGGAAACAACTCCGTTCCATTAACCCACTCTTACAATGTTCCTTAAATAAGTTTGGTTTCAGGGACACGAAGGTAACACACAACCGGGCTCGAAAAATCATGCTGCACAACTGCTCAGAGGATATGAAACCACGGGCCAAGAAATAATGTAATCTTTCAATTCCTAGCTGGTTCTTTACTGGCATTGTTTACTAATTTGTTTTCATTTACATGTTGTTTATTGATTTATCGGCCATTTCGACTCATTCCTTGTGAAACTCTCCTGAGATACTCATTTCACTATAAATTTCTTTAATTGTTTGTTTGTCTGTGTTGATTTTTGTGATGAATGCGGTCATCCGGACTGTCAAAGTCTACCTGTAGAGCATCGTATTTCGTGTACACAACATACTGATTGGGGGTATTTGGTATTTAAAGGTTTGTTTTATTCTGTTCGGAGGTCATAAAAGCTATTATGCGACTGGGGACAGGCCTTTCATTCGAAGTGGTTGACCAGAGTCATGCTATTCCAGGTGGGGTAAAGGATTTAGGTTTGATGTGATGGCTCATCAGTCGTAAATTCTAACTCCATGGGTGCTCTTTATAGTTGTGGTAGCAGTCGAATCACTCACCATCACTGCCTTTTGACAGCCAGATTAGGAAAAAGAAGCAGAAGTGTCTCATCCGAAGCAAATGCGGTGAAATTCAGATAGAGAAGGGCATTCACTAGGATCAGTGCGTTAACAAATTGACGTTAGGTGTGCGTCCTGCTTTCAATGGTCGCGTTGGGCCAGCGCGATTTTGGGTGTGCAACCGCTGTGATTCGATACTGTGTCACACCGTCCCAGAAGGCGCGCTTTCGGGGAGTGGAAGATGGTTGAGTGCATGATAAAAGGATATGGAAAACGCATGACAAATTCGCGCATCCACGAAAATGGCATCACCGTCATGGCAGCCACACCCCCAAAATAGGGGCAGATTCGTGGAGTGTCTCGCGAATCGCATAATATGGTGCAATCTTGAATGCTGTTGTCAACATTGGACCATATTATGCTGTTGTCAGTATGACTAGGGAAGTTCACCCACGTCCCTCGTTAGACTATAATACACTACACTATAGCATGCACTTGTGCACCACGCAGTACCCGACAGGAGGCCCGTCGCGCGCAAGAAGGCAGAGTCAGCGGACGAGTCGCAGCGCGTACTGTAGTGGTTTCGCGTCAAGTTAAATAGAATGTACCATTGTACGTCCTACATCGCACAGCACGCGCTGCGACTCGTCCGCTGACTCTGCCTTCTTGA